CCTGAAAACAGTTTGGAGTACCCTGTATCACTCATATCTCCCACAGTTTATACTCCCAGTGCACCTGCCAACAGTTTATCAACCTACTAAATACAGCAAGTGACAAGGCAAATATGAACTGAGCAAAATCTGAAGCCCTCGAATAAAACAACGTGACCTAAGCTAATCAGTAAAATGAAAAATAGAAACACTGCAAAGGTTTGCTTGGTTTTTTCCTCAAAAAGCTCTTTTTGGTTACTTAGGCAATATATGTGCAATATGTGTAGGATTCAATTCCATTTACAGTATCTTCTCTTCTTCTCACCCTGAAGCTCTTTGCATCATTAAAGACAATCTGAGTCTGTGGATGATGCCAGTCTAATTAGCAACACAGCCCAGTTTAGACTGACAGAGTTACATGTTAAAGGCCATTTTTGATTCATTTTCTGTTACATGATCACAATTTAATCTACTACAAGTTAACTTATTTCACTATATGTTGAATATTGCAGTGCAAGCTGCAACTGGATAGATAATGAACCACTTGACAGACAAAAATCCTTAATTTCAGGTGACTAAATTCAAACCCAGATAAAATGGGATATGTGCCTTAAAACTTTTGTTCATATACTTGTATAACTTTGTTCACAATGGTCACAATTGTGACACAGAACATGATTTTTGCGTCCCTCTTGCTGGGATTTTTAGCACGACCTGATGATAAAATAAAATAAATGATAAAAATCTTTAAAACTTTATCAATAAGTGTAGTGACATTTGTCACATTTCAATTTCACTATGTGAACTGAAGTAGAATTGTAGTTTAATATTTTTTTTAAACAGTTCAAATCTGTTTCACAAATTAATGGAATTAGACTATTAAGATTAAGATTTTCTTTCATCGATTAGGTTTTTTTCTCTGCTTCTGCTCATTTGCATGCTCACACTTGTTGCTTTCTTAACCCTGCAACATGGTTTTACATGATTTCATTGCTTATAAAGTGCCCTAGAAACACAACAAAACTATAAAAACACAGCATTACTGAGGACAATCAAGAAAGAAAGAAGTAATGAATCTATGTAATAGCGCCATGTAAACACTAGAGGGTGGCGTTACACAGATATTTTTTCATTCAATGACTGCACATCCCCAGATGATAATCTGTGTGGAATGATTTATAGCTACAGTATTCAAAACTACACATACCAGAGGTACAGTCTGGTGATGGCATGAATTCAAATAGCCTAATTTTTATCAGAATGTGCCCCTCGCTGACTGTTTCCTGCATCAGCTGCAGTGGATCTTGGCAGTATATCTTAAATAATAACTTCAGCTGTATCAACGGAGTGAATGCGTAGGGAACACCATAAATGTGAGTTTGATGTTAGCAGGTACAAAAAAAAGTAGCAAAAGTGTTAATCAATGTTATGTTTCCTCAATGCCAAAATGTGAAAGAAAGAAAGAAACTCAGTATCTTAACTCTAGATGTATTGTTAGATTTGATCTAAGATGGTAAACAATAAATATTAGACTCTGCCACACTTGAAATAATCTTGTTCCACACGTTGTTATTAGCTGTGATAAACACGGTTATTGTCTCTTGCTCTGTCTAAGGCCTATGTTCAGTGAAGGGGGCTTCATGCCCTAAAAATAACCCAACCCTCTCATTTCCCTGTGTCAGTAGGGCTCTCTCTCTCTCTCTCTCTCAGGTGGCCATTTTCACTCATCTCCTTTTTCTCTTCATACGTGTCAGTTTCTCACATTGACCCCCGTCTGAACACATCATCTTCTTATCCCTTTCATCCCTTCACCCACCTCTTTCTGTCCGCTTTTCTCTTTCATTAATTCATCTTCACCCCCCTACACACACACACACACACACACTTCTCTCATCTCCGGGCACTTCTCGTTGTCCTCGCTCGCGTGGTCCTCACTCGCTCCTTGGCTATCACTGAGGGCAGGGCTTGCAAGGTGGTGATGGCCATCTTGGTCCAGTAGTCCACCTCTTTGAAGATCTGGTACACCCAAAGCTTCAGATCAAACAGAGTGGTCGGACCGTCTGACTGCCAATAAGACGAGGAGAGATCAAAAAGTTCTGCCTTTATTTCTATTAAGCACTTTCATCATCATAAGACCTCCTGTCGACACTGGCACCTACCTCTAATCCCTCCGCGCTGGGAGTCAGGATCGCCGTGCCGTCAGCAGCTTTGAGGAGTTCTCCGGTGTTGATTAAGAGGAGTGACAGTCTGTCCTTCACCATCTTCCTCTGGGTCTCATATTCGGCCTTCATCCCACTGCCCAGCTCATCTTCCTCTTTGGCGATGGCTTTCTCCAGCAAGCTGCGGCACTGCAACAGAGCAGAGTGGAGACGCCACAGCTTGTCCCTGGTGTCCAGCTGGGAGGAAGGAGGAGGGACGGACACCAGACGGCCGTCGGCCACCAAAATATCTGCAGTGAAACTTTCCTTCTTTCTCTAGAGGAAGGACACAGAAAAAACAAAAAAGATGGAAATTGAGAACAGAAGTGAGGTGTGGGAATGCATCAATAAAAAGGAAAAAGAAGAGGAGGAGCAGCTGTAAAGTGATTTGCGTAAGTGGAAGACTAAAGAATGCTTTCTATCAAAACCACAATGGCGTCACTTTTGACAGCAATTTGGCACAATATTGAAGATCATTATCTGTGAGGCAACAGGGATTTTCTCCTAATGTGATAGGAATTTGTTCAAGCTCATTCACATTGCTTCAAATAATAAAAAAATGTTCAGCCTGATTCCAGTGGGGATTTATTAAGTCAACAAGTGAAAGGTTAACACGAGCTGGTTAAAAACAAAACAACAAAAGCACTACGGAAGCAAAGAAAAAAAGAGGATTTCTGTAGTTGGAACACATACAATATAAGACCATGCAATGATTACAGAGGGTGTGATACTTTTCCTGAAACACAAATCATTAACACATATATTCACATTAAATTAACATTGTGGGAAATTCACGTATTCACTTTCTTGCCGAGAGTTAAGTGAGAAGTTTGATACCTTACTCATGTTTGTATGAGAAATATGAGGCTACAATATATATACAATACATACATACAATGTTTTGATTAGTGAGCTTTAGAGGCGCATGTAGGCAGATTTTTTTTAAATCTCAGAACAGGACCAGGCTAGCTGTTTCCCCTATTTCTAGTTGTCATGCTAAGCTAAGCGAACCAGCTTCTGGCAGTGGCTTCAAATTTACCGTACAGATGTGAGAGTGGTGTTAATATACTCATCTAACTGTCAGCAAGAAAGCAAAGAGGCCTATTATCGAAACTATTCCGTTAATATTTAATAAGCAGCATATAACAAAGCTAGCACCTTTGTACATAATGTTACATTATGCTGACAGATCACTTCACAGCCAGGATCGTTGCTGGCATCAGCTTTGGTACTTGAGTGAGTTGTGAATCCCAGAGGCCTCCTTGGGACATTTTTCTGAGGCGTTAATGTTGAACCCTGCATGCAAAGTTAGTAGCAGTGTGACAGAGTGGACTAATGTGACCTCCCGTAAGCCCGGAGAGTCAGGGGGTAAGTTAATGTTTACTGCTCAGACTGCAGAGGAAATGTGAGTCAGGCCGTTATGAATACCCCAGGAAGCGAGTCTGTAGTCAGAGAAAATATTCTCATGGATCATTTTGAATTATGATAACTTGGTAAGATCCGAGAATTATTTAAGAGCTATCAAACGGATGTTGTAAAAGAAGTGTTTTCACAATGAATAGACAAGGACCAGTCTGTGTGGAAAATATTCCAAATATTCTGCATTGGAGACAATTCCTTCCAGCCAAGAAGAGAAAACACAGGGGACAGAAATGCACATACATTTCTGTATGACGAGCTCAAACATATCTAATCACTTTATGGTGCGTTCACTGGTATGTTGCTATAGCTTTAGTGGGCTGCAGCAGTATTTCCAATAGGAAACCCTGAAACAGAGTCAGTCATAAGTGTGCATACAAAAGTAGGAAAGAAGAATATTGGAGAAGACATGAAAGACAGAGGAAGGAAAGGTCAAATCCTGGGAGCGAAGTGGATAAAGTTATATGCCAGGCCACTCCCATGCTCTTGGCGAAACAGATGAAAGGAAGAATGAGGCAGTGAACTGGCAGGAAACCAATAAGTTTTAATAACCGGTAGCTCTCACACCTATAGGCAAAGAGTTTGTGGAAAAGAGACGAGGGCTTCATGCTCAGGCACTGATGAGTCTGTGCCAGAAAAACGCCCACCTCTGTCACTTCAACCGAGTTCACCCCCTCAACTCTGCATTCTTACCCCCTGCTGTCCTAGACATAATTTTCTTTCTCTTTCACACAAACACACACACACACACCCTCTTATCTTGCTCTCACACGCATCCTTTTCATCATTCTTTCTTGTTGTCTCTCATCCACTCCCACTCTCTCTCTCTGTCTCTGTGTCATGCACACACAATTTGTCCATGTACTTCTTTCACAAAGACACACACACACACACACACACACACAGTTACATGCACACAGTCACAGGCATGCATACACACACACACACAGTAACATGCATACACACACAGTCGCATGCATACACACACAGTTACATGCACACACACACACACAGTATCATGCATACACACACACTTTCACAGGCCTACACACACAGTTACATGCACACGCACACATACACACACAGTATCATGCATACACACACACTTTCACAGGCCTACACACACAGTCACAGGCATACAGAGAGAGAAAATCTATTAATTTTCCATTTAACCTTGGCCTATTTCTCTCTTCTCCCTCCCTCACACACACACACACACACACACACACACACACTCACACATTTTCCTCCCATGTCTTCAGCTCTGAACGGACTGACACTGTGATCTGCTGGCAGTGGAAACAACCAGCTCTCTCTACTCACATATAGTTCCAGTAAGATGGAGCACTCATACTGCAGCTGCTCGGCTATAGCAGCAGCCCGGGCCGCGGTGGTCCTGCTCAGATCCGGCCCGGTCATCCGTCTAGTCCGCCTGGCTGCCATTGGACGTCCCAGCTGCCTCTGCCGGGAAGACACACTTGCACTTGGAGCAAGAGCGCAACAGTCCGGCCCCCTAATATACGCCCGTGTGCGCCTGCCTCATCCCGACAGCGCCACGGTTCACGGCTCCCTTCAGCCTGCCCTTCCGCTCCCCTTTACTGAAGCTCTAATTAGAGCCAGTGCGAGGCTCTTATCTTAGGTTTCGGTAAAGAAAACGAGTTTCCCAGTCTGCGCGACCTTTCCTGCTCACTGTTGCTTACTTATGTTACAGAGTTGGTGGCCAACTCTCCGCCCTTTCCCCCGGGAACCTGATGCCAGGCAGGAGGAATTTAACGGGACGAGCGGGGGCGGAGAGAGAGAGAGAGGGGGGGGGGAGGAGCTCCTTAACTTATTCATGAGGAGCTTATCTGATTTACTGGTAGTGACAAAAGCAAAGATGGTCTAAACTTAAGTGGGGATGTTGCCTGGACTAATTCCGTTCGCTTCGTGTGTGTGTGTGTGTGTCCATGAGGAATTGTACAAAGATCACAGACAAACCACAAGTCTTAGATAAACTAATGTACTGAACTCCTACTTGAGTATGTCAGTATTTTCCTTTATATGATTGTTGTGAATTAAACTTACAATATAAATGTTAATAAATTGTTAATGCTTGTCTCAATAATAATGACCAAATAATATGATATTATTGACAGAGGCCAGTATGAGTAAATGACTGTGTCTGATACTGTAACTGGCATTAAAGTATTATTTTAAATGTATGACTTTTAGGCTATTTTTAATGGAGTTTTTTTTATAATGTGGTACTGCTACTGTGATCACATTGACTCAGTTAGCCTTCACATTCTCACCACTACAACCACAGTGTGGTCTGCTGGCCACGGAGCAGCCCCACTGGAGCAGCTGAGGTTAAGGGCCTTTCTCTAGGGTAATGAGGGAGGGGTAATAAGGGAGGGGTATGGGCTGCTTTTCACTTTCCCCACACAGATTTATCCCAATTTAACCAACGACTTTCAGGTCACAAGCATCTCTAACCAGTAAGTAGAGTACCAACTATTATGGAGATTTCAACAAAGTATTCTCTTCATCAAAAATAACTGTGTTGATAACTAACTGCATATTATTGACCCTCTCATGGGAGACATTCATAGCACAAGAGCAACAGGTGTAACCAATGACATTAATGATGGGTTTGTTCCATTTAGACTGCCAGTAAGCCAACATGAATAATGCCAGAGCCCTGTCACAGGCACACAAACAATGTATGATTTACAGTTTATGAATTGCACAAGGTGACATTTAGAATAGTAAGAAAACCTGTAAGGCATCCTGTGGACTTGAAACTACCATACAGAGATACACACAAACACACTCACAAAGAAAACACATCAAATAATAATGAAATATTCTAATTATCTTGCTTTGGGGAGTGAGGTGGTGACAGATATTGTTGCATATTTTATAATACAACTTTATAAACTATGATTAAAGTGTCATAAAAGTAAATGCTCAAAACTTTATATTAAACTTGGTGGCTTTAATTTCAGTTTAAATGCCGTCTGTGGATATTGGGGGCCATAAATTGACTTATTCCTCATACAGTAGCCTATCTTGAAACACAATATACTGTCATTTTTCAGAATATGTTATATGATGAGTATGAGATAATGGATATACGGACTGCTCACCACTTAAGAAAGCAAGGAGTTATTCTAAAACATTTACAAAAACATATTCCACAATCCATTACTAAATTCAATATTATATAAAGATAGACATATATAAACAAATACTGATAATAATTAGTAAGTAAATTAACAACCCGCAATGACCAAAAACCTGTACTGACAATATATATGCGTGGAAAATGAACTTAATCTTCGTTGCATAGCCTACAGGTTGATGGACCAACGTGGTTTGTGGGTCGGTGATGATTTAATTTAAGGGTGTAATACCACTCCTATGCTGCAGGTGTCACTGCAGGAGACTGTCACGTAAACACTGAGCAGCGGCTAAATGACAGCAGCTAACGTAGGTGGAAACCTGGATGTTTGTTTTACAGAGTGAATGGGAATGATGGAATATTTCCCCGCTGTTTTATTTTTATAAATATAACTGTGTAGCCTACTATAAGAGTCTAGTTATCCCGGAGCAGTAACAGCGCGCTTCACTCTTGAGCCCCAAGCGAACCAGCTAGCTTAGCTTAGCTTCAGCTGATCTTAGAGGCATGAACTCTCTGGTTGGCTACGGAGTGTCCTCGGAGTCTGACAGCGATGGAGATGTAGAGGATGTAAACAACGGTGGAGCTGGGTAAATATTAACTTAAAAAAAGAAACAGATTGTAAATAATATTGCGCTCGCTTACATAAGCTGTCAACTTCTCTCTCTCTCTCTCTCTCTCTCTCTCTCTCTCTCTCGTACAGTTCAGTCGAGGAGGTGGGGGATGAGGCTCCAGCTATCAAAAGGACCCGCAACTTCTTGCTGGAGCCTGATTCAGGTTGCAGTGAGTCAGACAGTGAATCAGAGGAAGAGGACCCAGAGCCCTCTTCATCACCACCACATCCCCAATCATCTTCTGCAGGCTGCCAGCCCACCCGGGGCTCCTTCACCCCCAATAAACTACCTCCTCCCACTCTAAATACCTGTTCAGACAGCAGTGTGTTTGCCAATCCCTTCAAGGCTCAGGCAGATCAGAAGCTCAGCGCCTTGCAGAAACACGTCCCTCTCACAATGCAGGCCAAACCCTCCCAGATCGGAGGTAAAAGGATGTGTGTGTCGTACAGGAAAGACGGAAGGTGCAGGTTTGGGATCAAATGCAAGTTTGCTCATGACAGTGACCTCCAGACCCCAGCCACTCACGCTGACTGTTACCCGCCTGTGAGCGAAGACACACCAGCGTCAGATCCAGCTGAGGGCCATGCAGGTGGAGGATCCCAGAATCTCCGGCAGGAGACGAAAGAGGAAGAGTCAGGAGGGCAGCAAGTAAAGAAGAGGAAGGTTGGACTGAGTAACACCTTAATTCCTCCTAAACGAGCTATGAAGCAGTACACCATGCATAGGAACAGAGAGAGGATCGATATGTCCTGATCGATGAGCTATTACACTGCGCTGTCATGAAGCAATAGTAGTGGAATTAAATGTGTTGTAGGAATTGTGTAGTGACCGTTTTAGGATCAATTAATGACTCAGGCATACAGTTACATTACATCTTTAGTCCAAAGCAACCTACATTTTTATTTTCCATAAATGCACATCAAGAGCAATTGTGTGGTTCCTGCTCAAGAACATGTGAACAGAAGGAGCTGGGGATTGAACCAACAACCTTACTATTAATGACCCCTCTACTAACTTAAAAAAAAAGAAAAGATGTTCTCAAACTGTCAGTGAATACACTTGGTATAAATGTTAAGACATTTATTTACATCATATAAATGAACAATTTTTTTTGTGTTTGCTCTACTACACATCCTAAAACACAATTCAGAGAGGTGCAGATTCAGTATTGACATGTGTTCCAAGGTTTCTACATAGTTTTGCTTGTTAAATTACATTACACTTCAACGGTTATAGACAGAATTTGGGTTTAACTAATTCAGTGACTGTGCTGTACTGTTATTTTATAAGTTCATATGTGATGATTTAAAACGTCCATGGTCACCTCTTGGCTGCTTATAATGACCAAGGACTTTTGTGAGAAGTAAATACATAATACGGGTTATTGTTCCTTCAAAGTCTACAAACAACCAAGCTTAAACATTTGCACAGCTGTCATTGAAACTGGTTTAGTGACTCTGCCAAAAATCGCTAAAATATGCATATTTTGTGACTTTTTACAGGCTATTTTGTCTACGTCTTTCCAGGTTTTGAAATGTTTCTCTTTGTGACTATAGATCGTTTTCTGTTATATATTTTAGCCTTGCCAAATAAAAGCTTTACAGTAGATCTGGACAATAAATGAAAAACAAAAAAAATAGCTGCCTATTAATTTAAACAGACTTTACTCACCCCACACATATTGGGGTCCGTTTACAGCTTTCTAATGTGTGTTTTCTGTTAATTCATAATATAAATAGAATTGATTTATTCCTTAATAGGAACCTTGATGCCACACACTAGGCATTTAATGTGCTGTATATTACTAAGAGGTATGCTTATATTATTGCATAATAGCAACAGCTCTGCAACATAACCTCATCAATACACACACATACACACACATACACACACATACACACACATACACACACACACACATAAAAGGCTAGTTGAGTTTACAGGACTTATGTACAAAGGCAACAACTTACACATACAGACACAGATTTTTCCCTGATACAGATATTCTAAAAAGCTACCAAATATGACTATGAGTGAACAGTACATAATATATCGGTGATCCTACATTTACCTCAAACATTGCAATACAGTATATCAGGTTACTGATGGCATAATCTGCCCCCACCTTCTGTTTTGTGTGCGCGTTCCTTGTTCTACAAGAGGGCCTGCTGCACGTGTCTCTCAGAGTTGTCCGACAGAACTCCCCCTTGTCCCGTCTGCTCCCAGATCACACCGTCCTCCCCTACAGTTTCTGTATGCTGAAGGGAGCTGACAGACTGAGAGGAAGAGGAGAGCACCGGACTGTCCAGGATAAAGCTGTCCCCGTTTGTGGAGGTTGGATCCTGGGAGTGGGGATGGGACGAGGACAGGAGAGGAGGACTAGGAGCAGCTGCCTGCAGGGTCTGAAGCTGCTGAGAAGTCGCTAGAATGGGGATCTGCTGAATGTGGGTCTGAGACTGGCTGACAGGCTGGAAGGTCATTTGAAGGATTTGTGTCTGCCCCTGGTTCTGCTGCTGGGAGGAATACGACTGAAGAGACTGGATCTGGGGTTGATGCTGGGTCACCACTGAGCTGGAATGGAGGGTCAGTTGTTGGATCTGGGGCTGCTGTGGCTGCTGAGCGGCCTGCACAAACTGGACGGGCATCTGGAGCTGGAGGTGAGTCTGCTGCTGGTTGTCAGCAGGCGAAGGGGGGTCGATGGGGGACAGGGCAATCGTCACTGGCACCTGCATGGTATGGAGGCTTTGGTCTTGTCCCAATAATACCACCTGATGACTTACTTGTTGGGTCACATGACCCATCTGAGACACCTGAGCCACTTGCTGTCCAACTTGCCCTTCCTGGCTCACCTGGTCCACCTGCCCGTCATGCCCTATTTGGCTCATGTCTAGGCTGGTGACCTCTGCTTGCATGGGGTTTCCTGGCAGCTCCAGAAGGGAGGCGGGGGTTGTGATGAGGGCCCCAGCGTTTGCTGCCAGCGCCTCAGCAATTAGCACCTCAGGGTGACTCTTGGCCTTGTGGGCCACCACACAGTCCTTCTTTTCAAACTTCTTGCCACAAATGGAGCAGGAGAACTGATAGGTGGCATCAGCATCGTGCTTCTTCATGTGCCAGTTGAGAGACGCCTTCTGGCGACACGTGAAACCACAGATTTCACATCTAGGGAGAAGAAATAATTAAAATTTAAGAAAAATAATCAATATCTGAATGAAGAGAAAAAATGCACAGAACTGGTAAACACGGAAGTACTAACTGTAGGGGCTTCTCTCCGGTGTGAATCATGCGGTGCACAGCCAGGTTGTGGGAGCTCTTGAAGGCACGAGCACAGAACTCACAGATGTAGTCCCTCTGGTCTATAATCACACAACACTCAAATATAGATGTGTTCTCCATATACTTTCATTATTAAATGATTAATTACAACAAGAAAAGGTCAGACACAGATTGAACCCAATCTATGATTTATATCTGCGCCGTATGTGTACCTGTGTGGTGCTTCGCATGGCGCAGCAGCTGCTTCTGTAGGCGGAAAAGCCTCCCACATGACGGATGAGGACAAACATACTTCTTCTTGAGCAAGTGCTGGTACTTTATATGGTGCTGTGTGTGCGACACAAAGAAAATGCAGAACAGTATATCAGCATCAGTTGAATGGAAAAAAGACTGAAAACTGTCATTGTAAAGGTTAATGTTTAAATCTATTGTCTATTGTAAATCTATAGTGTGTGAAAAGATCAATAGATTAGCAGCCTTGGTAATGTGGTCAAATTATAAAATCTATTTTTATAAATCTATTTATCTGTATCTGAACAGACTCTATTATTCCCTTCAGAATTGTGCCGATAGCAAACACCTTGGATCTAAAGTCACTTCCCCTCAGCTAGCAAGTATTGACAAAATCAACGTATAGTGCTGAACAATTATTTAATTAATTAATTAACAGAAATGTAATCAAGCAATTTCAAGATGCCACCTGTGACAATGAAAAATGTGATGGACATTTTCCACCATTTTTGATATTGTATAGATTACACATTGAATTGCTTCATTTGGGAAAATAAGCTATACATTAATAAAAAAATTTAAAATGGTCAGTAGCAGTCATAACCTCTATAATGCATATAGAATAAACTCCCAATCACTACATTTGAACTGCATTAGCTCAGAGTGATAGATGTCAATAACCAGTAGGGGCGAGCGGTTGCTGGGACAGACCTGTAGGTAGCGCGGATGAGCCAGGACCGTCCCACATCCTTCCATTTCACAGCGCACATACTGCACTGGGGGCTTCTTCCTGTGTGGTCGAAGCATCGTGTCATTGCAATGTCACAACACTGAAACCAAATATTAAATGGATCTCAAAGTCCTCATTAATAATCCACATATCATCAATCGCTACCACGTCCTTTATTTCTGACAGGGTGAAATTGATGAAACAATATTATAAAGTTCAGATTACGATTCCCAAAAACAGACGTCAACTTCACCTTCTCTTTGGCAGCCGTGGAGTTTTATCATCCTTTTTCCGCCTTCCTCTCCTGATACAGATGGAAAAAATAACATTTCAATGGAAAAGTCAGGGAGCATTATTTTATAGTGAATACAAAGCCATTTTAAAAAGGAGTTACATTTGGATTTAAGATGTAATAATACACTTACAACTGCCTGGTATTTTATATGCACAGTTATAAAAATAATGGTGTTGTGCTTACTTTCTGGGTCCATCCGGGTCCTCCACTATTTCTTCTTCTAGCTTTACTTCCTCTTCCACGCTCTCTAAGTTGTCCAAACCTTCTATCTTTATCTCAGCAACCTCTTTCTCTTTTTTAGGTGCCTTCTCTTTCTCTTTCTTCTCCTTCTGTCTAGGAGGAACTCTGCGCTTTGGTTTAGGTACATCCCTAAGAAACAAAAAAAGAGAGAAATATCCAGTAACTAGACAACAAATATGGTACCTATGTCTAATCATGTCTTACACAGACACACACACACACCTTTCGGCCTTCGGGTCGTAGCTCTGGTCATTAAGGTCATCTCTAAAAGGAACATCTTCATCACTGCTGAGGCCCTCTTCCTCCTCTGCTCCACTGAAAAGCAAAACAACAAATCACTTGAAACAGAATTCCCCACTTTCTGCACAGGGTCAAGTGAATGTACTTGAGTTAAGTGTACCTCTGACTCTGCGGCTGGTAGTTGAGGTCGTTTGGGTCGTCCTGAAATTGAGGGTCTTCATCATCCAAGACTGGCTCAGCAACATCCTCGCTTTCCTTCTCTTTCTTTTTACTGAGACAGCATAAGTGTGAAACACAGTGGTCATCAAAACACAGCGCCGAGCTTTCACTTAGTCACATAGTAATACAGTATATTTGTAAATGCCACAAGCTCACTGGGTCATAAATATATAAAGTTTAATTTATACTTAAACCATATATTATGCCATGTTGTAAAAGAATAAATAAATATACTTACATTTCATACTTCTCTTTATTGTTTAACTCTGCTTCCACTGCTGCATGACACACAGAGGAAAAATAAGTTTGAGAAAGGCAACAATAGCACTGTTATGAATGCATAAAACACACAAAACAATATATTGTCGTCTTATGCATTCTCTCTAAATGAGTTATTGTAAGTAGAAGGCATGTAAAAGGCAGCACTGATCCCATTAGTTACACTGAAAATCCATAATCACAGCCATCCCATATGAATTAAATAAAATGTCACTTAAGGTTTTCTACAGAATAAATAACATCCTGAAGAACAGTAGCGAGCTCGACGCTTCAGTGCTTCTGTGTGAATTATAGGCCCACACGCTCAACCATTGTAGCTCACTGTCAACAGGTTGCTCACCAGCTGGATTCTCCATTCCAGGTTCGGTCTTACACACAGGCTTGGCAGAGCCGCGGACAGCCCTGCCAGACGGGGGCTTGGCACGAGTCTGGGCTGGGGGGCGTCTGGTGGGAAGAGCTGGAGTGATAGAACAGAAGCATGCCATCAAACATACTGTACGCCATGAAGAGTGGTACAGACATATGTAGACATGACACCATACACACACAAGACAGCTTGAAATACTAGTAGTTTGAAATGCACACATAATCCACTGGCATATATACACATAGAATATTTCACAAGAGGCTTATCAAAGACATTTCTCTGATTACCTTGAGCATCTGTGGCAGGTTTTTTGAGGTCCTCTGAGCTGCAGAAAGGAGGAAAAAACAGATCTGATATTTTCATCTTCATGCTTCATCATCACCACTACTACTACAGCGATGCATTTACAGGTCATAAAAAACAAATATGACTATTTGTAAAGCCAGGTAAGTTTTACTCCACCCTCCCCATGCAGAAGTGTAGAAAGGGGACGAACCATGCTGAAGGCGTGCTTTTGACAGGAACTGACCCCCACCGACATAAACACTCAACTCAGACTCATTATAAACAAATGTAGGTGTCTGGAACAGTTCAATTAAAAAACTTACTCTGTGCCTTGAAGGCTGTCACCTGCGACCCCACCTCCAGCCTCAACCGAACCCGCTGATTCTGAATTTTTCTTCCGCCTCGAGTTGGAAACTTTCCTCCGCTTGGTCGCACCGGTGTCCGGGGTCGGTTCGTCTTCGTCGTCGTCGCTGCTCTTGGTGTCCTTCAGCCAGGCCGGTACTGCCCTCGTTGACCTGTCTCTTAAAACCCGTCCCGAGCTCTGCGGGCTCGACGCTGCTCCGTTAACGTCCGTTACTGAAGCGGAGACACCGGACCTCGGGCGGCCCGCTCCCCTGTCTCTGAGCCCTCTTCGCGGGGTAACGGTCGTACTGGTGGCCGGGGTCTGCTCTGCGGCCTTGTCCTCCGCCGGCTCCTCGCCTTTATTTACACCCCCGGTTCGGTCACCGGCCGGTTCCATCACCGTGAGGACACTTCAGCCTACCTCAAATTCCGCTTAAAGTCAAGCAGGTTTACCGGCAATATCAGGAAAAAACGGACCACATCTGGTTAAAAGACGTTTAGATTGCAAGCGGCCTTTATCCGACAGTGGGGCATTTTCTATGATTGCGTTGGGTTCGTCGCAGATTAAATGCATATATTTATTGATTAGGAATTGAAAACTTTTCTTAATTATCTATTCAGCAATAAACCGATATCATTTTAAAGAAGCAGACACTATTTTCGCGTTCTTAAAGCTATAGTAAACCTACTTATTCGCCCGGGCCTGGAGCGCAACCATTTTGTGCGCTTTGTTGCGTCTCCTTTAAGCCAAATATAAACCGAGGTTACGTTCAGGAGCGGCAACGCATTTTAGCAGCTGCAAAAACCAGCTGGATGTCGCTCTTTTCCTTTGGCAGATGGAAGTCGGTTTGAGCTGCGTTGTTTATAAATCTGCGAAAGACGGCAGCAAGCCGTGCAAAGGCACAGCGCACACGACAGCTGTCGGGGCATCATGGGAATTGTAGTGTTAGAGCAACATCGCTTGACCCATAATTGGTTTTAAGGATATTTCTACCGTTTTTGTCGTGCTTTTATCTATTAAGGTTTAAAAAAACCAAACCAAACACCGAAAAATTATACCATAGTAATGTAATTATGTGAAAATGTTCCTTGCATGCAGAATACTTTGCCTGCCACACACATAAACACACATAAAACTAAATAAAATCACTATTATTTTTTTCCCCTAGAATTCAGCATTTTTGTGTTCTGTGTAAAATAATATAATAAATTACAACATTTTACTCAATTGTCAGACTATGGGAAGATCTTCTACCTGCATGTGTTGAATTTCTATTTCAACCTCAAGAAAAACTAAATGTGATTTGTTTCCTACAATATAATGTATTGATGACTGTGGAGCTAACATGGCTGCCAGTGAAAACCTGCACTGTCTGGTCTCAGCTGTACAGCTCTGCTGCAGGCTGCTCCGATGGGGTGCATTTACCACCAGATGGCAATATTGTCTTAACTGTAACTCATCTAGACAGCATAAAGGCTCTATAACTTGGTTTAAAATCCTTCGGTCACTGTGATAAAGAAGGTGTAGTGTTGATGCCTCTATTGAGACTTATGTTGGAAATAATATTCATGGGGAATAAACTCACTCTTACTCTTATCTGTCTGTAAAGTTTTTTATCAAACATACACTGATCCCACACAGCTGTGTGGATACACAAACAACCATGTGGGATCATAGTTGAAGGGAAAACACAAAATTAGGTTTTAATCTGATACCTTTATTATTAAAAGAAGATAATGTGACATCATGTAGGTGATAACCCTGTGCAATACTTTATGAGGTAAATGGACCATAACAATGCTGCTTCTGAATACATTTTAATTACCACTGAGTAATTAGCGTTTCTATTCTCTGATGATTAGTTAATCACATGCATCTTAAAATAAGACATAACGTGAATGGTTAACATTTATTGTGTTAATTCTATGAACTATAACATAATCACTGTAGGCCCGCACACTGCATCAGTGGGAGAACAGAAGAATGGAATATGAGCTAACTTGAGACGGAGCAATTTCTTGGTATTTACCCTCCTGATGCTACTGTTAAAAATAAGACTCAATCAGCTTCATAATTTCCCCCCAAAAATGTATCAATAGCCTAATAATAATAACATGATAATTATGTTTTGTATTATAATCAGAATCTGAAAGAGAACTAGTAACTAAAGCTGTTAAATGAATGTAGTTGAGTAAAAAGTACAAGTATAAAGTAGCATAAAATGGGAATACTCAAGTAAAGTACACACCAGTGGACTTATTGATATTATCAGTACTGTAGCTATCACTAGTTGAGCAGGTTGTTTTTTTTCTGTAACCTGTTACCACATTTTAATAGTAAACCTGTTGGCTGACAGGTGGTGACGCCGTATGAAAACTCCATGTACCTGTGATCGCTCTCATGCACATATTGTCCCGCACGATGAAGGCTACTTATGTTCTTAAAATCCCCCCTGAGCTCCTCGCTGGGGAACAACATGTTTCTGGAGTAAAGTTGACTCGCCACAGAGAAGTTTATGAAACATTCTCACATTGCTTAATAGTAGCTGATGTCTGAGGTCAGAGATGGGTTTTCATTCACAGAGGTCAGAGTCAAAGTCCTCTGCCCCTGGACCTTTGTGATTTAATCTTAGACTAAGACATGGTTTAGACTGTGTCGGTGTGAACAAGGTGGAATACGTAGACAAAATGAATGACAGCATCGCATCCTTTTGAAAATGCTTTATTTATCTACTTTATCACTATAAATATAACAATACCGAACAAGTTTTTTTTTTTTAAACAAACCTTTAGATAGAAAACAGTCTGCATAGGCCTACAAAGGTATAGCAAAGGGCACATCTTGGCAATAAGGCACACACTAGGAAGAGTTTAAATGGTAACACCTATGTTAAACTAGGCAAATATAGCTCTACACCACTCACACAACGAACAGCAGGAGTTCATCCTACTGCTGTATCGTGGGTGAAATGTAGGGAGGGAGAAAGAAAAGCTGGTGCTCTGAGTGGAAGGCAGAAAGTCCCATCTAGCACGTGACATTTGGATAGCTGTTAAATAATGATTAGATCTTTTAACAGTTTAGCCAAAATTGACATGCAGGAGTTGCAACACCAGCAGCTCAAAGTGCCGATGGGTTGTCACACATACAATGGACCAGTTTTAGTCTTTGCTGTTGAAGCTGATAAAATGTAGTTGAACGACAAGGCCTTTGTGCTCCCACTCATAACACCAAATCCAGTTCAAAATAGAAAACAAAATATTACACACAACAGAAACACAATAACCTTGAATTTTTTAAAAACTATTGGACACTTTGGCAAAAAAAAAACTTTTTTTTTTCTACTTTTCTTACTCTGACTTCTTATCCCTAAACAAGGTGTAAATAAAGAAAAGAAATATGTTTTAGAATATATTATACCTTTTCTTACTTCATACACAAAACATGTAATGCATATATTAAATATATCCTGACTTATTGTCATCATACAAGAAAATAATAAAAGCAGTTATCAGCAGTTTGTTTGTTTTTACGTCAAATCCAGTTTCAGAGGGGAGAGAAGTAGCTAAATGAACTGAGAATAGACTTAAACAAATATATCTTGTTTGCTTCTTTGATATCTTTTCATTTAACTCATGATCTCATTTACAATCTCAGAATCCAGGCTGGTCAAACTCATCATGCTGTTTTATGGGTAAACTGCAGTAAAAAGAAAAATATCTGAGAATACACAGAGAATTAAAAATAAAATTGGAAAATTCAAAAGTACTGGAACTGGTTTACAAATACAAGTCAGCATACACATGTGTTGCATGCTCTTATACAAGATAAAGATGGCTGTTGTGGAGTGTAACTTCATGATCAGCAGCTTCTTGCATCTGTTATGTCTGTGTGTTGTGGTACATAGATACATGCCTGGCTACTTGTATATTTCAGCGCGAGGTATTGCTCCAGTTTTTCCTAGTCCAATATTACACTTGTTTTCAACACACTGCAGAGTTTAAAAAGTGCCTACTAAACATTCATCAGGGTTATTGTAATGTTTAATGCTTTATCCGCAAGGAAAAACAGACATTGAATAAAACGCCAAACTAGCCAAGTTCAGACATGAATTCATACTCAGTATTTAATATCTCTTCATCTGAAAGTGGCAATCTGTTGCCTTTTATAAATACGTTTTAAGTGCACCTCGGTCAAGCACAGTTTGGAGGACGAGAAATAAAGAGGAGACAGAAATACGGAGTGTTACTGCAGGAGCATTCAGAAAAGAGACTACAGGAGAGAGGTAGCCTTGTCACATCTGACTGCAGAGACTGAAACCTACGTGTCTCACCACAATACAGTAATACCACAAATCTGGTTGATTGGAATTATGAATGGAGAAAACTTCAGTTTTCATGTGAGTCTTTCCTCTTTGTGCCAACCACAGGGTCTTGGCTTCGTTGTGAAAGGCACAGTGAAAAGCATAGGGTAGCACATACAGTATGCAGATTTAAGGCACTGTATTCAGGCTCAATCTATCTACTATCATGAGACTAAAGTTTTTATGGTTTTTTGGTTAGCATTGGCAAATGCAGGAGCTCTTTTAGTGGCAGAGTGCTCCAGTCTTTATAGAAAAAATGTTTCTCATTTCTGTCCATATTTGTTCACCTTTCAAAAATTCAAACAATAAAAACAAACAGTAATGCATAAATGAGAAAAAACAAAACAACTAACATCTGTTCAGTCTTAATCCCCTGTCAGCGCAGTTTCTGAGGATGGGGAACATCTCCAAGTACATCTGTCAGGCTTTTAGATAAACTATATTGCCCATCATTTTCCAGTTTTCTTTCTCTAGTATTTGTTCCCCAAGGAATCTGTCGCAACAATATTATTTAGCTGGCAACATTCCTTCAAACCAAGATATATGTTTCCAAATGTTAAAGAGGAAAAAACAAACTAATTATAGGCAAATGAGCACAACACTTAAAACCTTCATTTAAAACACAAATAAAACTTAATAAACCAAAAAGTACCAAACAGGCATGTTTGAAGCATACACATTCAACCAGCATGGACGGACAGCATCACCTACAGCATGTAGAATTGGCTAGAATACTATATATTAATGGAAAAATACTAATAAAAAAAACAACCCAAAAACATTAGTATATCCAAAACAGTTGTCTTCAGTGGTATCATCTCTTGTCAGTAGTTCCTGTTGTACTTTTACTCTCTTTCAATCAACTTTTCTTTCTTTGTGTTTAGACATGGTGTAAAGGTCTATCCTTCCTGCTCCAGAGAACAAATACAACCCCAGTAATGAGAGAAACCTACAGAGAATAAAACCTTAAATATCTGCTTCTCTTCATAAATACTTGAATGTACCTTCAGTGTTTATGTTGCCATGGCAACACAGTGGCAGGGGTCAGAGAGAGAGAGAGAGAGAGAGAGAGAGAGAGAGAGACTTGTGACTGTTGTTATTGTGAGCAATGCTTGTTGTTGGGGGGTGATGTGTGTGTCACCACATTCAGGTAGGTTTCCTCAGTAAGTTGACTGTCCTCTCTGTGTGTTATAATTGACAGTGATGCTGCATAATTAAGCCTGTCATGTGATTGCTTTGGGTCCAGGATATACTGAGGCCATAGGTGGGACAGATACGAGATGTCAAGATGTCATTGTTTCACTGTCTGTTTTCTAAATATATGCTTCAAACGACATTCCTTTAGAGCTTTTGGATGTTCACATGTTCAAGTGACGCCTCTGTATGATGGGACAGGCTGTGCACGTTGCGGTGGTCGTTCAGTCAGAGGCAGGGTAACTTTGTTGTTGTTTCACGTGACCCTCAGAATCAATATGTCTGGTAGACATCGTGGATTGGCAACTGGAAGGCTGTGGCAGGGAATGCCTGTGGCACAGCGTAGCCTGTGTATCCCCCATATGCTGCAGCCGCCACCGCTGCATTCTTCTGCAGAGCGGCCAGAGCTGCTGTGTTGGCAGCGTAGTTTGTGATGGGGACGTATCCAGCTCCATACAGGCCACCAGCTGTTGGGATACGCTGTACATTGTGGGCCATGGCATAGACAGGAGTGATTGGACGGCCCTGGGAAATGCAAGAAAAGGAGAAGGAGGAAGATAGCGAGTAAGACGATTTGTAGAGAAGAACGTCCTCAATGACCAGCTCAGTGTACATTTACTATACATTCATTGAATGAACGCTTTCAATTGTGTGTTGTTCTCCCAGAGTATAAATAAGTAAATATATGTTTTATATCATATAAAAATGTAGACTAATGAATCAGCCAGGAAAGATTCTTGTTACATTAAACTTAATAATATTCCACAGGAACTAACTAAAACTAAAACAGCAGTGAGATGGACATTTTACATCTTTATCAGCATGCATCAAATTTAAACATTTTTATGCATCTGTGAAACATACAACAGTGTCACTATGCACACCTGAAAAGGTGGAGGGGTAGAGACCGCAGGTAGGACGGTGGCAGCAGCAGCATTAGCGGTGGTGTGTTCAGGGTGTTGCATGGCCAGAGGGTTGATAAGGTGCTCCACCGTGTGCATCTTCCCCTCCTCCATCAGCTTGGCTGCAGGACCCGTGCTGAATACTGGGTACTGCCCACCCAGAGTCTGCAATGCCACTGCACATAAAGAGATACGAGAATGAGAGCTTGGATAATAGTGTGAACCACTGCAGACAACAGAGTATTGCAAGAGATGGTTAATATGTTTGCATTCAAAATAAAATAAAAGAGACAAGCACAGACATGCACCCATGCTCAAACAGAAACAGGCATACTTATATCTAATCTAGTGAAGGAGTGGTGGATGCTAAAGCAATGACGGATAAAGACAGAAAAAGGCTGAAGGAAACAATTTAGGCAAGAAGGGAAAAAATAATAAATTACACAAATTGGCGTTAGGGTGTGATTCGGATTATGATGGCGCTCAACTGTGGATTAACCTCAATGCTCCAACACATACACACAAACATACACACACACACACACACACACACACACACACACACACACACACACACACACACACACACACACAGCGAACACAACGTCAGTCATTGTTTCAGATGGACAAAAGTCTTTTTAATCTGGTGGTGATCCTGTGATTCCACACAGACCAGGACTAAGACCAGGACCCCCAAGATTGGGGTCAAATCGTTCCAGAAGGAGCATCAAGAAAGTCCACTTATCAAAATGGACCTGTGGTCACCAAATATATGGAATTAATAATAATAACAAAGAGTTCAATATTACATTTATGATGAAAAAAACAAACAATCGGGGAGGTTTAGTAACTTTTGTGTTTAGTAATAAACTTGAAAATGAAAGAATAATACCAGTGTGTTCACTTTTGTTTTGCATTTCTATGACTGAAGTTTCTGCATTTTATTTATGCTATAAAAACGTATTTGAAAGTTTGAATTTAGATGATCCACTGATATAAACATGAGACCTTTCTTTCTGTAATAGTTTCATGTTTTGTTATGTCCTCAGGTGAGCTAGGTTTTTTCCCCCCATTCATATCAGTAAGATTGCATTTCTTTCTGCTTACAGGTCAGGAAACAATGAAGACAGAAAGAAAATGGATCTTCCACCAGGAAATAATCCTGCCAACACGCCAACTAACATCTTTACCGTCACATTCGTCTTTGTAGGGAAAGCAATCAATTTTAGGATATATTTTACACTGTATACTTGATACTTACAAATCAAAACAAAAGTCAACAAAAAATCCAGTAATAGAGAGCATACATTGCAAACTCATGATGATTGTGATCATGTAGACTATATGTATACAGCAGTAAATGGGCCATAACCTTACACAACACTGGTATTATCCTTAAAGTGATTATAATAGAGCGGACACGATAGGAAAGAGTAGATAAATAATCTTTTGTTTTGTGTGTGTTGGTGCGTTTAGTTTTGCATTTCAACTCCAATCTTGACTGAAACTTTGTTGTTTGTTGTAACACTAACAAAGTTAAAGCAGGAGGGAAAAAAAAAAAAAAACTTTAATTACTTTTGTAATTTGAAAAATATAATAATTTTTTTAAATACACATTTGTTTTTTGTCCATAATGTTTCAGTCCCAAGGCAAGACAATGTCAACCACCTTTCAGTCAAAAAATTGGAGTTGAGTGCATGTGTAAAAGCAGATTGTGGACACACTGGTCCCCACATCACTATGGCCATGTTCAGACAGACAACAGCACTATGTTTAACGAAACCATCGCCGTAGGGCGTCAAAAACACGTAATCTAACACTTTTTGTGTTGGCCAATCAAATACGTTCCAGATAGATTAACCCCTTGTGTTCTTTTAACACAGCGCTGTTTTTGGTCTGAACACCCAGTAAGACAAATTTGTGATCAAGGAGGGAAAAGGGAATAATGAGGAACAAGGAGACATAGCAATTACTTTCTGGTCTGGCTAGAAAGGACAGATATGTCCAATATTCTTTAGTGTAAAGAGAAAGAAAGTCCTTTTGCACCTGACCATCCAGCAACAACCTTCTTGATTTACAAAAAGTTCCTCAAACCACACAGGAGAGAGAGACAGGAAATTACGAGCTGGAAGGTTTGATAAAGGTTTTTGAGATGGGCAAGGATACGAATGGATATATCTATCTCACTGACTTGTGCCAGGTTTGATGCCAACGGGGTTGACAGAGGCAGCGAGCTCCAGACTGGGCATCAGCTCATAGGGCTTTTCGGTCTGCTTGGTCTTGCCTTCATGGTAGCGGCTGTAGATGCCACGACCAGCAGAGTAACCCCCCAGGTACGACCCCCGTGGTCCAGGGGTACGGTTACTTGCAGCAGCACGACCACGACCTCGCACAGTACCTGCTTAAAATACAATTAAAGTAATATGATGACAGGGGTTGTGGCGCAACTTGTACTAAAAGTTGTGTGGGGCATCACGTGAGGCAAGATTTTATGGTGGGTTTAGAACTTCTTTGAAAGGTCCTCTGAAGATATCAGGACTGGGGTAGCAAGAAGAGTCATTTAGCTCTAATTTGAGGCAAAGATTTGCCCATGAAGTGTAGTCACTACACTGGAAATTTCTTAGCTGTTTCAGCAAAGGTTTTTAGTTTGGAGTTCTTTGGGTCCAGTTTGGCCTTTTCCTGTTCTGACTCTTGCTAGTTCTTGCTATGCAAGTTCTTGGCGCTGTGAAACGGTATTCCGAAACGTTCTCAGCTTTATTGTGATCTCTGCAATAACCCAGCATGAAATGGGAGGTGACAGCGCAGCAGGAAAAGGATGGTGTTAGAAAACATATAGTTTGTCACATGGCAAGAAAGCTCATTGTTCATTAAAGGAATAAGTAGGAATAAGGATGTGAGAGATTACCATTGTTCTGTATCATTGGGGATCCTTTGGAGAGAAAACCAAAACACAATGATTGTTGAAAGTCAAATAGATTTTCCTCCTACCACCCAAAGACCATATATAATCAATCATCAAAGGTGGGATTAGCATTCATTGGTCCATCACCTTGTTTTGTTTTTGGCTTTTAACAAGTCTCTGATTTTAAGTCACAAACCCTCATCAAGTTAAAGATTTTAAAACTTTTGTCATACAAATTGCATTGTCATCAAAGATTAAATTGATATTATCTTAGTCATCATGACCATTAAAAATCATATTGATGGTGTGTGTTTGTCATTGTTTCTACAATAGCATCTTTTGAATGTTATGAGATCTTTATCAGTGCATTGGCCCAGAGTTTCTGCTGCAACTAACATTTACAAAAACAGAGAAACACTGTGGCTTTTGCAACTGACCATTACTGGCACAAAATCAGAAAGAATTCATTCTAACCTTTGACAAAGTAGTCCCTGTTGGGTCCAATAAGGGTGTTGTAGGGATAACCATAGTAGGCCAATGTGTAGGGATCACACTGGTAAACGTAGTTCTGTGGAGCAGCCTCTGGAGTGGCGGAAGCCCCCTTGGAGGCCTTCTGGCGCGAGTACTGCTCTTTGTCAACAGGCTTGGCGAGCGTCACCTCAATGCATGAACCTTCCACCTCTGTGCCGTTGAGGTGGTCCATGGCCAGGACGGCATCGTCCCGGGAGTTAAAGTGGACAAAGGCGTAGTCTCGTATTTTCTTCACACGTTCAACACATCCAGGATTCCACTGGCTGAACACCTGGTTGGCAGAGAAAATAGGTGATCGGTTAAGAATAGTATAGTATTTCTTCCTGCCAGTTATGTTTTTACCCAATAAAAGAATTCACTGAACAGAAAGCCAATCCTACCTGTCTGATTGTCTCCTCGCTGGTCTCCATCATAAGGTTCCTGACGTAGAGGATCTTCACTGTCTCCATGACATCTTCGTCCACATCAATCTCCGGCTCAGCCCAGTCCACTGCAATCTGGTGGCCCCAAAGTTGAATGCGTCCAGGCATCAACTTCCTGCGAGCCATGGCGGCTGCACGGTGCGACTCATACTCTACAAAGGCAAAGCCTCGGTTCTTCATCTTGTCTGCAGCACTGGCATAAACAATCACATCTAGTACCCCTTCTGTCACCTTGGAGACCTCCTCCAGGATCTCCTCGCGCTTTTTGGTCTTGGGGATGCCACCAATGAAAAGACGGCAGTTGTCCACAGAGGAGCAGACCCCCAGCAGCCGCCCGGGCCGCACCTCATAGTTGTTGAGCTCGCGTACAGCCCGCTTGGCCTCATGTTTCTCTGTGTACATCACAAATGCATACCCTCGGTTTTTCCCATCAAAGTCCATCATCAGTCGCATCTCATAGATGCGTCCTACGGACTCAAACACTGGGACCAGCTCATCCTCATAAACGTCCCGTGGAATCTTGCCCACAAAGATTTCACATCCTCGTGGTGGAGATGCACCATTCCATCCAGGAGGAGGGCCATATTTACGCTGACCGTTTTCCTGAACCATGCTGTAGCCAGTGCGCTCCATCAGGGCCACCAGTGCGGCCTCATTGGGAGCACCTGCAACTCCCTCGGGGATGTTGATCTGTCCGTGAAGAGGGTGATGGGAGGCACCAGAGGGTTTGGAGGGGGCAGTGTTATTGCTCATGGTTGAGGAGGAAGCAGGATCTTCGGCTGTCATTCTGACAAAACCATCCAATCAAATCTGGGGCCTGAGGAGAGAAAAAAGACAACATTTTATCAAACTACATTCAATTGTATGAACCGCGATTGCTATCCAAGAGAGAACAGGAAATACAAGAAGAAAAATAAGAAGGGTAATTCACTCAAGCTGCCATTTAAAACAGGCCTGTACCAACAAAAAACCCAAATATGGCTGCTTGTTGAAACAAAATGACCGTCAATTTACAGGAACAATGACATGCAAGATTACCTAACAAACTAACTGAGGCACATTATGTGACCTGGACAGAACAGTGAAAATATAGCATCTATAAATCCCCAGGGCACCATCCCCTATCAGTGGTTTTACAACCTTGTTTTGTTGAGTTCTTCAGATCCCTTGCTGACCTCTGACCCCTATCAGAGAGAATGAAGGGCTGTAAACCCTGAAACCTCCAGCTCAAGGTTCACTGAGTACACACGCTAGGTCACATGCTCATTATGTGTGTCAGAAGTAAGTTAGACAAGTTGAAGTTAAGCTATATGAAGAATTTTGTGTAAAATATGACCCTGCTGACTCCATACTGTGACAAAAAAGTTGTGCACATTAATATGTTTTATATGAACTTGTTGCACGCACACACTCCCCACAAGAGGGTGTTGGACTTTCAACCTCTTTATCATGAGTGTTATACAGTCTGGGTGCAGCTTTTTCTGTGTGTGTGTGTGTGTGTGTTTCTGTGTGTGCCACTTCATTAAGAGCTGCAGCCCTATAAAAGGAACAGAGAACAATCAAAAATCGGCTTCCCAAGCATAAACCTCTTACTCTGTTATTTTCCAACACTGCCAGCATTCACAACGGAAAAATCCACAGCATTTTTAAATCCCCAAAATCTCCACGCTGCGTATAACACTGAGGCAACCAATCACAGCAGACTACAAAGCAAACTACTTTTTGTCAGACTAAACGTAAGCAAATAGGCCAAATAAAAAAACAAACTCGTGCTAGTTAGGCAGGCGCTTTTGTGCGTCACAAGATTGCCTGGACTTTGATGGAGATAGCTGAGGCAGTCAACAAAGGTAAAACACTACTAAGCCAAGCAACCATGGTAACGCGCACACTCATTTAACATGACCCAATATCCCACTCTCCCACTTACACGCGCACACACACATACACCTGTTCACTTGTTAGCTCGTCCAAGGCTGGAGGGCTTAGAATTACCTGAAAACTAGCTCACACCCTGTTCACAGAGTAGCGAAAATGATGCAAATGTCGGTTTGGTATAATAAAAGGAGAGACGCTTTAAATATCATAGACATATCAACAAATCAAACATTCATTCATTTACTAATGTTTGTGCAAGACAGGGACAAAGAGAAAAACAAAATAGCAAGAGTGGGGAAAGACAGGATGTTGTTTCCTGCTTCTATCTTTAGACAGTAGTTGGTTGCTGACACAGGTCAAGATGACATTGGATCATATAAAAACATCTATTTTGACAGAGTTATACGGACATCTACGACTAGAGTTCTGATTCTGCTCAGCGAGGATGCAGTTCCCTTTATTGCACAAAAAAAAAACCATCACACAAGATTTTCCAAGTAGCCTGCTACATTAAAACAGCCTTTTTGTTACCTATTTCTGTGTTGCTTTCTCTGTGCTTCCACAGCTCGACGTGCCCTCCCTCTGTTCCTTCTATTGTGTGAAGTGCTAATATGACTCCATCTCTTATCAGCCTTATCTTGCCAGACTGATGACAAAGGGAGGACAATATTCACTTTGGGAGTTCTGCTCGGTGATAAAAAGAAGCTATGTCGACACAACATGAAGTCAGTTTAGTTACTTTTAAAAGTACCTCCCTTGACTGGATATTCTGTGTGTGTCAAAATTATGATATACTCAGTGTTCAGTCTCCGCGTGGGGTGACCCACTTCCTGCTTTTGACCACTTGGAGATATTCCTAACTTCCTCACTGCTGATCACTGTTGTGCTGAGGTTTTCCTTCACAGCACTCAGTGTGTCAAAAGTGAAGCGAAAATCAGATCGTCTGTTATAATCTCTCTTACTTTGCACAATTGAAAAAAAAATGAGAATAGTGAGTGTGTATGTGGGATCTTTTGGCATCCGAGTGTATCTGAGGAAGAGTGTGTTACCAGAAAAATACAGCTAACAAGAGGCAACACAAGAAGTGAGGAAGTACAAAAACAAAATTTGCTTGAAAATCTGCACCCTTCAGAAAGCGCTGACCTTATGGCGTATGCAATAATGTGTATGCGTGCGTGCGTGTGTGAGAGAGAGACAGCGTGCAAGGAAACTGAGGCAGCAACAGGTAGATGATTAACCCTGACGAACACAAATCACAGCCTTTACTCACAGAGGGCATAAAGGTTTACAGGAGATGCCTCGGTTATAAAGAAACTAGAATTTTAGAAACCAAAGTTATTACAATTTATGTGTGTTTTTGAAACTGCTAGCAGATAGTAGTTAAAACATAATCTACACAGACATCCAGAGCTCAGACACAGAGTTCAACAGGTTCAAAGGTTACAGTAGCACAGGAGGGAAGAGCTGGCTGGCCTGCACACTGCAAAGGAAGTTAAAGAGCAAGGATTTTATTGGCTAACACACCGGCAAACCTGCTGGGTTAAAATGTCCCAGTTATAGCTGTGGAGATTACCCATTACACTGTGTTTATGATTGATAGAAGCACCTGATTCTCTACGTATTAACAGCATGTTATTGGGGACAGAATTGTTTTATGAGCAGAGAAAAAGGCTTTTACGGGCTTCCTCTGGATTATACCATAAACACAGATTGACTACTGCAGGCAAATTCCATCTTTTTCCTCAAATAAACAAATGAGGCATGTCATTATTAAAGCATAGTTCCTCACAGCTAGAAAGAGGAAGAACATTTCATTTGTCATGTCACTGACCCGATAATAAATCAACAGTGCTATCATGTGTTCTTCTCAGTAGCATTTTGCTGATCTTATTCAGTTTGCAGGCCAACAAACCTCTCTTTGGCTCCCAATTTATTGCAGATTATGGAGCAAAGAAAACCCAAGTGTGTGTTCAACAATAAGGAACAATGCGTCTCTTAGTTTCTGTTCTATCCTGAGTGACACTGATCCAGTGTACTGAAGAAAACAGGCCTAAGGATGCCGCCATCTTAGCCGTACGGTCCACACACACGGACACGTGTAGGCAATTGACTCACGGCGTCTACCCAGCAGCCCCTAACAACCAGGGTCACAAGGCAGCAGAAGAGGATCAATGAAACACCAACACTTACAAACACACACCCGATAGATAACATTGCATTCGCTGACTCATGCAAATGCCATTCAAGCCTGACCTCACAAATTCTGCAAGAGAACTGCTAGATAATAATCAAAATCAAAAACCATTCATTCAAGGTTGAAGAATCCCTATAAAAACCAAACACAGACTGAGAGAGAGAAAGAGAGAGAGAGAGAGAGGGAAGTGAGACTGAAACAAAGCAGACATCTTGAGAAGGATTTCACAGCAGATGGGATGTTGGTGGAAAAGAGAAGAGGAAGGAGAAGCAGAGAGTGGTCAGTTGGGAGGATAGCTACCCCTGTTGCTTCACAACGCTCCGCTGCTTGGCTGCCTTCTCTGGGAGTGTTAGTCCACCTCCATGAGAGACAGGTACAGCAGGGCACTGAGCACAGAGGCCAGCCTCCTCTAAACACACACACACACACAGACACACACACACACCGAGCCAAAGCTGCAAGCATGAGAGCTGGTGAGGGTGGAGCTAAAACAGGTACTTGTGTGACTGTGTGTGTGTGTGTGTGTGTGTGTGTGTGTGTGTGTGTGTGTGTGTGTGTGTGTGTGTGTGTGTGTGTGTGTGGGCGGATCCCTCGGACACAAGAATTTTAGTAGGAAGTGTGAAATACACAAACATACATATAAATACTGGTGGCGGAAAGTAATTCATTACATTTACTCAAGGACTTTAATAAAGTACACTTGTACTTACTTGGTTATTTCCACTTATGCTACTTTAAGTTTAATATTTTAGGAAATATTGCACTTTTTAGTCCATTACCTTCATCTGATATCTGTGGTTACTAGTTGCTTTTTTAAATCTTTCCTTTTAGAAAGATTAAACCAGTGTTGACCCAACCTTTTTGGCTTGTGACTAAACAAAGCAGCGTGTAGTTGAGGCTCATTGTCACATTTCAGATGTTTATGAGTTGTTTACAGTTCTGCTCAAGAGAGATTTCCCCTCTGAACTTCTCAGATGGTTTTATTTCAATCATTTTTTTGAGCCCAAAGAGGTTAAACTCTCAAATATTTCACAAGAAAAGCAAAGATTAGAGAAAATTCTCTGGATTCATGTTGCAGAATTTTGTTTTTTCTTCCCAATAATTATCTCACAACCCCTCAAATGTATCTGGGGACCCTTTGGTGATTGGAGGCCACTGGACTAAAATACCACACTGTATATAAAATAGTTAAAACTAGCTCTGCCTCAACCAGCTACCACAGTAAAATGTATAAATATGCTAATACATATGAATAATAATGTCAGTCAAGTGTGCCATTTTTTTTTTCTGCATGATGAGTACCTTTGATATTTTAAGTACATTTTGTTGGTGATAAAGACTAGTTGATGTTATTGGGACAAGAGGGGGCTCATGGGAAAAGTAGTTTTTTATGGATGTCATTCTGCTTAGTTGCAGAAATTGTGAAAAAAAACGGCAGGAAACGTTCTAACTGGGGTTTGAATACTTCCTCATGTTGTTGTCTTACTCTGACATTTGGAAATTCTGACTGGGAGTAACCATTTATGTCATGTCAGCACAAGACTACAACTGTGTGTAAGTGTGTCTGTGTGTGTGTGTATTCGGGCACGCGCCTGTGTTTTTTTGTACATAACAACGGTGAACATGTTCCTAGCACAGCTTAACTTAAGCAAACAACACACACCTTCCTGGGCAGTCAAGAGAGCAGATAGAGAAACAACTGAGAAGAAAAACAGTCAGATGAGAGAACGTCACACGCTTAGAAAGTT